CTCGCATAAATGCGTAAAGAAGTGCGTATAAATCTTAGTCGCCCTCGAGCTCTACATTTAGTTTTACTTCAAAGGGAAATTAAGACCGACTATATAGTGTAAGCGGCTTATGTATCGGCTTGGGCCGCTATAGCAAGAGCGCCTTTCACATCTATCAGCACGCACCACTACATTGTTTTGAATAAGCACACTGGGCGCTTTCATGCGTCTATTCATGCAGGCAAGCAGATGCGATTGCAGGCATATCGAACCACACCCACGTTGCATGTATCCGCACATTTCTGGGAATTGCTGAGAATGCCATCGATTAAAATGTAGCTTTTTCCAAATAGTCTCTCATGAGCTCCTGGTAGGAGCAGATGAGTCCACTGCTGCAGTATAGTATAGGACAGGGCCACTGTTCTAACAAGCCCTCGCACATATCGCGTGACAGCCCATAGCGAAACATCGAAAATCGACAATTCTAAAATTATAACTCATTCGCATAGGAACGCGCCGTGTCCGATATGATATCCTATCGGACAGGTGGTACCTCCTCCGTGTTCTACGCATCTTTCGTCATAAAAGGAGAAAAATCTTATTTACATTCATTGAGATGATAACGGCAGGGAAGTCCCGTAGTTTTCCCTTTCCAGCATCGTTTCGACGTCTCGTGAATTTCGAGCGTGCATGCCCAGCCAAAGCACGGTGGAAGGCAACGAACGCCCATTGAGGCCGTACATCTTGAGATGTACGGCCTCCAATAGACATCTCATGATTTCATTTAGCGCTCTCTGGGCGGCACCATTTTGTGCGACCGCAGCGCCCTCTCCACACATCCGGGAAGTTCAGCGGGTTCGGCGGGGTAAAACGAGAGAGAGGGCACGCGCGCGACTCCGCTAGCAGACGACAAACCGGGAGGTTGCCGTTCTCCATCTTTGGGCTGTATCGGCGGGCTCTACTGGCTCTACGGAACATCGAGCTCTCGCTCGTGGCTGCCGTTGTGAAGTGGTTCGCGTTCTTAGAATAGTTGTGGCTACTCCAAAATCAGCCTACAGCTCTCTGTCGTTCTATTTTGCTAAGTGATCAACTAGCATATCTTCTTTCCGTTACTTAAATAGCAGTTGAGTCAGCCGGCAGTACTACCCTCAACTACTGCTTGTATTGTGGCAGGAGAGCACGTTTTATTTATTATTTCAGACTTCCACTCACGGTCGCTAAAGGCCTACACCAGTACGAACTTGTGTATAGTAAAAAAGGTACAGCCACCGGATTTACTTCTCGCCAAAGAGACCGGCCAATCAGACACAGTTTTCCCAATAATTTTTTTTTTATTTGCACGCGGGTAACATCGCAATTGGACCCCGTGAGTCCTTTTATCTAGCATAATATTACACGACAACTGGCATACCAAAATCTGCGCATCCGCGCTTGGAAGTTCCAAAATGACGCGATTTTAAAGAGTTTGCACGCCAGCCGGACGCTACCTACAGCCCACTCGGCGGGGCGGACGTTATGCGGGGTGAGAGGGGGAGTGCATTTTTTTCTCTTTTACCCTCTCTGCTATGACCCTAATGGAACGGTCTATATATATATATATATATATATATATATATATATATATATATATATATATATATATATATAACGCATATGTGCAGATCAATGTACCGTACTTAATCCAATGAATTAAAGAATCAAAGTTTTCAGGAACCCGCCGAAAGCCAAAGAACGGCGGAGCCAGGATTTGAACTCTGGGCCTCCCAATGTCCGGTCGGGTGTGCTAACCTCTACACCACTCCACCTTGGCTTCCTAGCGTTTCCTACCTGTCTTATTAATGCACAAGAAACGAAATGTATTCAATCGGAGGTGTTCTGGAAACACACGCCGCCCCGTGGAACGCGGTACGACGCTTAGTGTCACGTGGTACGTGCTCGTTTGTGCTCCAGAAATCCTCCCACTGTTTGTCTTGCCCCGTGTACATGTAGTAGTATTCTTTGTTTATGAGCTTTAGAGACACGGTATCATCATCATCTGCGAGAATCAAGAGCCACGTTATTGAACGTGGCACTTCACACCATCGTACGTGGTCTCCGAGGAGGATATAAACGAATATGTGCAGATGAATGAACCGTACTTAATGCAATGAATCAAAGAATTAAAGTTTTCAGGAACCCGCCGAAAGCCAAAAAACGACGGAGCCAGGATTTGAAATGGGAGGCCCAGAGTTCAAATCCTGGCTCCGCCGTTTTTTGGCTTTCGGCGGGTTCCTGAAAACTTTGACTCTTTGATTCATTGGATTAAGTACGGTTCACAACTACTCGGAGACCACGTACGATGGTGTGAAGTGCCCGTGTTGTCTATATATATATATATATATATATATATATATATATATATATATATATATATATATATATATATATATATATATATATATATATATATATATATATAAAGTTTTATTAGCGGATTTTTGCACTTACGTTTTCTGGCCTTCCTAGTTTTACTCGGGAGTCACCTTATCGCCTCGTAGACGACAAGTTTGTTTTAAATCGGTTCAACATGTGTCCTTCGCCTTGGTTTGCTCAATAACCAGGAATCTTTGCTCCGCACGTTTTAGCAACGTGTTCGCTAACTTTCAGATTTCAATACCAACCACTAAAAAGGACCGGGCGGTTATATTGATGCCTTTTTCTATGAAGAAACACATTCTCTGTGAGGCCGACATGATGACAGCGGGAAACATGCCACGAAAATGTTGCGCAACTTATTCTTCTAGAAAAAAAAAATCGTCCGTTATTATTGAAGCACGCTCGCGCTAATTTCCCAAAATCTGTGTCATATAACTTCCACAATCCTTGCTCTACAAAGAAATCTATGGATTTCGTGAGGATACCGCTACCGCGTGATGCAGGCTCAGGACCCCAGGCTAGCAGTGGTAATGCGCTGGCAAAATTTCTCACTTACTGCGGATACACCAGACGCCTACTGCGGAGTCTGGCTTATTTTCTTGCGCAGTCAAGTCTCATACTCAAGTCATACGGAAAGAAGTTTGCAACCTGGGGGGAGTGAAGCGCCGCTCCTCCTTCAAACTGAACCTTTCTTTTCTTTTGCCTGAGGTGCTGTTTTACGTCCAGAAAAGACTACTTCCAAAACGTCCCCACATGCAACACTGCGGCCGTTGTATTATAGGACTTCTTCGGTAGTGGAGAGGTGTAGCATGGTTTCGGCGATGCATCTCGGCACATCATGAAAATAATGTCAGTGCTCGCTTGCATTGCACCCCAAACACCTCCGTGAGAGCCCCCGTTGAAACACGGATCTCCAGCGGCCGTAAGGGGCCGCCTAAGCTTAGCGAGGAGTATGCTTAGGAGGAGTAGAGTCTGACAGCCTGGCTGCAACTCCAGCGTGCAGCATGACCCTCCCGGCTCATGGATAATTTAAGAAGCCGATTCAGGAGAAGATGGAACAGGATGACCGGCCCATACTTCTTCTTTCATGTGCCTTCGTAGTCCTTGTTACATGTAGCGTCCCGCTTTGGGAAACGCTTTGACCAACCCCGTAACAAATCCAAAGAGGCAAAAAAAGAGGCAGCGAAAAATAGAGGAAGTAAAAGAGAAAGGCAAAAAAGAAAGCTATAACACAAAAAAGTGAAGAGGTCAGCGTTAGCGTTAAAATGGGACGTTTGTGGCGGTGGCAATCAGTTCATCGAACGGCGTTTTATCGACACGCGATGTTTCATCGAGAAATCGTATCATCGACAGTTCAGATTAGCTTTTTTCTCTAATAAGATGCATCAGACTATTTCCGCGCAGCGGCGTGTACGGGTGTGTCAGGTGGATTAACGTTTTTGTAATGAGCCGCCGGAGACTGTCGCCGCGAAGCAGCGTAAACGGGGCGGCCGGATGGGTTAACATGCACCTCAGTGATAGACGCGCGGCGATATGTCCTGCGTGAAATTTGCATAACTAGTGTCGATGAAACGTTCATGTCGAAGAAACATTTCTCCATGAAAAGTTGTCCACGAAACGCAATTTCACAAAACAAGTTTTGACGAAACGGTAGGAGCCCCCGTGTGTGGAGTTTCCCAATAATCATGCTAACGCAATTCCTCAGGATTCACCAATGCTCTTTTCTTCTCATTTCCGTACTCTCTGTACCTTTCCTTGTGCTCTTAAATACGCAAAAAATATCAAGAGGTCAGCAGTAACCGCTATCTCTGCTGCTCATTACCAATGACTGAACGGGAACGAATCAACAATAGACAAAAGGTCACCACCCAAATAATATTTGTAATGGTGAGCTCCACTGTATAGTATGCAGTGTGCGGCCCTATCAGCAAGTCAAAAAGAACGTCGGCCGGAGCGCTAAATATCGCGCGTTGAACGCGCCGGGGGCCAGGGGTCTGATGTCTGGTCACTGCGGGAAGGAGAGTGAGATGCGCGTTTACGTCTGCAGATTGAGCTATAATATAGCGTTCGTAGACGGAGTCGCCTGATAAACCGAGCGAACAGTGTGGTTCGTCTGCTGCGAAGTGTCATTCGCCGAAGAAATCAAATAAGAAACCAACGTGCATCGTCTGCCAATAGACCGAGACAAATGTTGATCGTCTGCTACGAACCGAGCGTCACACCGTAGCGAGATCGGACTCAGGCTGAAAATGTGATCATCTGCTATTTCACTTTGGAAGCCATTGACGACTTTCGCTTTTTCAGCAAAGCTCAAGTTTGTTCTGCTGCCGTACACAAGCTGACATCCGTTGACGAAGGAAGGAGACTAAGGACAAACATATCAGTGAGTCGTTCTCACCTGCTACGACGCGTCCGAACGGAGACATGCCGGGTTGTGAACGACGTTTATTGTCAGGGACGTGATAATATAGGCAGCCGATGCTTCGGGTGCAAAACAGAAAGGGTGGTGATAAGAATGATAAGTACATTGGAGGATGATACAAAGTTTCCAAGAGTCATGACACAGCTCTGATACAGCATTCCTTCCCCCTAGGGGCTATAGCGATCTACAGGCTTCCTTTCTCTGGTTGACCTTCGCAACTCTGGCGGCTGGGTGGTGCTGATGGTTGGTTCTGCAGGTGTTGTATCTTGTACTGCATCTTGTCGAGCGCCTTGCGTTGTCTTTGCCGCTGTCCCTGGTACTTTGAGTGCCAGCGGCTCTCGAAAACGGATCGGGTCAATGTGACGTCGGACTTCTCCCGACGGTGTGTCCACTGAGACCATCCTTGCTCCGGTCGTTGTAGTTACCGTCCCTGGCAACCACCTTTCTCCTTCTCCGAAGTTCCGGGCCCAAACTGAATCTCCGGGCCACAGCTTGCTACGGGGTTCCTGCAAAGGCACCAATGAAGCACCAGGATACGGCAGGCAGGCGTCTAGACGAGATCTGATCTGGTAGCCTAGCAGTCGTTGTGATGGCGAAGAACCGTCAGCCAAAGGAGTTCGGCGGTACGCGAATAATATTTTAGCCAAACGCGTAGCAAGGTTACCATGCGTGACCTTTTTTAGACCATCCTTAATCGTCCTGACTGCTCTTTCTGCTAGCCCGTTGGACTGAGGGTGGTATGGAGCAGTGCGTAGATGTTCTACGTTATTTCCCGCGAGGAATCGAGAGAACGATTCTGCCGTAAATTGAGTCCCGTTGTCTGTCACGATAGTCTTCGGTATCCCAAAATGGCTGAACATTTCGCGCACCGCTGCTATTGTAGAATCGGCAGTCGAATTCTTCATGGCCACCGCCTCTATCCACTTTGAGTGAGAGTCCACTGCAATTAATATCATGGCGTCCGACACCGGTCCCGCGAAATCCAGGTGTAATCGCGACCACTTTTCTCCCGTCTCCGGCCACTTCACCGGAACATATAATGGCGGCATCGGCCGTGCCTGGATACACGCACTGCAACTCCGGGAAAGATGTTCAATCTCACCATCGAGCCCTGGCCACCAAAGAAGTGTCCGCGCGACCGCCTTCATCGCCGATGCTCCTTGATGGGTCTCGTGCAGCATTTTTAGCATCGCTCCACGTGCTGTCTGTGGCACGACGACCCGGTGCCCCCAGTAGAGCAAACCCTGGGCTACGGTGAGTTCCAACTTCCTGTGAAAGAAGGGTTGCATTTGTGGGTCGTCCTCCTCTAGATGCTTTGCCCATCCGTGCAGCACATAGTCTTTCACCCTGGACAGTAGCGGGTCCTCCGAGGTTAGTGACCGCAATCGTTGTGCCGACAGAATAGTATCACCGAGTTGGTTAACTGAAAGCACATATTCTGGCAGCTCGTCCGTCTCCTTGTCAGGAACATTTATCGGTAAACGACTCAGTGCATCAGCGTTCTGGTTCTGGGGGCCCGGCTTGTATTCTATCTTGTACTGATATGCCCCTAGCAGTAACGCCCAGCGCTGAATTCTGGCCGCCGCCATGACAGGTGTAGGTCTGTCCTCCCTCAGCAACCCTACCAAGGGCTTGTGGTCGGTAACGAGCGTGAAGTCCCGCCCCAACAGATAATCTCTAAATTTGGTTACCCCAAACACTAGGGCTAATGCTTCACGCTCAAGTTGCGAATAATTTCTTTCCGCCTTTGATAGCGTCCGGGACCTGAATCCGATTGGTCTGTCCACGTGTCCGAAACTATGGGACAACACAGCCCCTACCCCATAAGGCGATGCGTCACACTCGAGACGTAAAACTTTGGACGGGTCAAAATGCGTAAGAACATCTGCCGTACATAACACCCGCTTGGCCTTTCTGAAAGCATGCTCCTCTGCTTGGTCCCATTTCCAGCGTTGATTCTTCGCTAGAAGGTTGTACAGTGGCGCCAAGAGGGTAGCCATGTTGGGCAGAAACTTGCTGTAGTAGGTCAAAAGTCCTATGAAAGAGCGGAGTTCACTTACGTTCTTCGGGCTCCTTGCTTCCATTATAGCCGCCAGGTTCTTTTCCGTAGGGTGTAGGCCGTCCTTGTTGATGCGGTGCCCGAGATAGCAGACTTCGTCCTGCCAGAAGTTACACTTCCCTCTGTGCAGCTTGACTCCGTTCTCCTTGAAACGCTGCAGCACCTGCTTGAGCACGCTCCTGTCTTCCTTTCTTCTCTCCGAGACAATGACGTCATCGAGATACGCTTGTACGCCGTGTATTCCTCGCAGCAGGCTCTCCATCTTGCGCTGGAAGATAGCGGGTGCGGAAGAAATACCGAATGGCAGCCGGTTGAAACAGAAGAGACCACGGTGCGTGTTGATGACGGTTAACTTCTTGGATTCGTCATCGAGTGGCACTTGATTGTACGCATCTCGAAGGTCCAACGTACTGTACCTGTCACCCCCACTGAGTGCCGCGAACAGGTCGTCGATTACGGGGAGTGGATATTGCTCGGTGCAGCAGGCTGAGTTCACGGTCAACTTAAAATCGCCGCAAATTCTTATGGTCCCATCCTTTTTTAGGACAGGGACAATTGGTGTTACCCAGTCCGCGTGAGGAACCGCAGAGATAACACCGTTTTTGACAAGTCTGTCCAGTTCATTAGACACTTTGTCACGCATGGCGTATGCCAGAGGCCTGGCCTTGAAAAACTTGGGTGCAGTTCCTTCTTTCACATATAGATGCGCTGGCGGGCCTTTGAGCAAACCCAGTCCGTCACTGAACAACTCCTCGTATTCTGACAGTAGTTCTTTCAGCTCGACGTCCTGCGCGGTTTCGGTTGCCGCCGTTAACTTAAAAACAGGTGTTCCAAGACAGTTCAACTTTTGTAAGTCGCGTCCACATAAACTTGGACCTGCGCAGTCTAGGATTGTCAGTGTCGCCGTCACCTCTTGGTCACAATACTTGATGGCAAGCGTAAGCTTACCAGCCACCGGCAGCTTCCCCAGGTAGCATGACAACTTCAGTCTCAAACGTTCCATCTTCGGCCAGCCATGGCAGTGCCTGTCATATACGTCCCTTGAGATTACGCAGACCGGCGAACCTGTATCCACCTCCATGACGATGTCGGCGCCACCCCAACAAAATTTCCTGCGCACAGGTGCAACCAACTGTCCGTCTGTTGAGAGATACGACTTCAAGGTCAACAGCTGCAGTGACATGTCGCTCTCATCGCTGCTGGCTTCGTTTCCGTGTATCGCACAAGCTTTGGCTTGTTTCTTGGTTTCCGTGCGACACATTCGGGCTGCATGACCTTTCTTTCCACACTGGAAGCACTTCATGTTCATAAACCGGCATGTTTCTGTTCCGTGCGCTGCGTTCCCGCATCTTCCGCACAAGTTAGCCTGCCCGCGAGAACCTTTATCTGTTTTCCTGAAGTTGAATCTTCGCATTTTTTCGGTGAGCGCGTTCAAGGCTGGGGCTGGTTCCTCTGCCGGCTCCGGTTGCTTAATTTCTTGCGCGCCTTGCGTGGCTGCTTCAGCGGCTCGCACGATTCTTTTAGTTTCTTGCAATGTCAGCTTCGGCTGTGCCAGCAGCAGCTTCTGAACATCCGTATCTCGAATGCCGCACACAATTCTGTCTCGAATCATCCGGTCTAGCATGTTTCCAAAATTACATTTGTCAGCTATGCGTCGGAGTTGCATGATAAACTCTTGCGCCGACTCTCCCTCTTTCTGGGTCCGGTGATAAAACTTGAAACTTTCTGCTAATTCGTTTGGTGGTGGCGCGTAGAAATCTTATAGAATTGTCACGACCTCTTTATAGGTTAATTCGCTCACCTTCCTTGGAGCACATCGGCCACTCAGTACTTCAATTGTTCTTGACCCGAGGGCGGACACCAGCAGGGCTCTTTTCTTGGCGTCCTCCTTGATTTCGTTTCCTTCGAAGTACGATTCAATCCGGATGGTGTACGAGGCCCACTTGTCTTTCCCATCGTCGAACTGCGGCACTTGATACGCCATGCTTTACCCAGGGTGGCAATACGCCACTACCCGCGTTGATTCGTTCTCGTCGCCACTGCTACCACGCGTCCGAACGGAGACATGCCGGGTTGTGAACGACGTTTATTGTCAGGGACGTGATAATATAGGCAGCCGATGCTTCGGGTGCAAAACAGAAAGGGTGGTGATAAGAATGATAAGTACATTGGAGGATGATACAAAGTTTCCAAGAGTCATGACACAGCTCTGATACAGCATCACCAAAAAAAAAATTGCCTGATCGTGAACTCGCGAACATACCGAAAATTTCTAATTGGTTGATTACGCGGGCCAAGGAGGAAGTCGCGACGTCATGTCCAATCAGCAACCAAGAAAGCTGTCGCTCTCACCTTGACCAAAACCGGAGCCAAGTGCGTTACGTTGTCGAAACTCTTGAGCGAGATTGTGGTGGACCGCCGCGAATTAAATGTGCTGGGGGTGTTCCGAACGTGGATAAGCCACGCATGTGTTCGCTGAGAACTTCATCCACCGATATGCTTGTCCGGAAGGTAATTAGTGGTGATGTAGCGTCTTGGAAGCCCGGACAGAATCTATTCTTCTGTTTTTTGTTCAGGATTACGAATACATATAACGGACTTCTGGCGGCGACCTCCCTGCGTCCAATTTCGAAATCCTGGGACTAAAACGCCAAAAACTGATGGCTGGAAATATTGAAGCCTGTTGCCTTTTCGCAATGTCTTTATATCTGTCGAGCCATAATGATGATTATCGTGCATGCTGCAGTTTCAACATGACCAATAAAGCCATAAATAAAAAAAGGTAATTCACCGATTTTGGTTAATTAGCTTCCTGATCTGGACGTGAATTCTCTTAGCTCAAAAAACACATATCAAAAACGGCGTCCACGTGGGAGCGAGCATCTTTTTTTAAAATTCTGTTTCCACTTAAAAAAGCGTAATGTCACAAACCGAAAATGAGAAAATAGATACAAAACCAAAAGGAAGAACACACAAAAATATTTCTTAAAACACACTCACACAAACACACTCATTAACACACAGAGAAGGACGCTTGTACAAAGCGTTCCCAACTTAGTCCGATACACGACCCAACAAACTCATAAAGACGACTGAAGCCAAAACCAAAATAAAAATGGCTCGCAAACTTCAGCGAAGCATTGCCGAAGCACTGACAGACACAACTGCTAGAGACAGTGGCCGCAATTTATTGATTCTGAACACGGGGGCCTCGTGGAGAGGCGCCTCCCTGGCCATTAGGATGTCATTATTCAACGCCCCCCCCCCCCCCTCCCTTCCCCCCCTGGTGCCGTTTGACCGCGAGGCACCGTCTTCAATCCCTCTTCTACCTGCCGACTCGTCTGCCACATAAGAGAAAGTCTTTGTCTGACTCCGCCGCGTCATTTTTAAGGTTTTTCTTCTCGCTGGCTGTTGCTCTCACAGCCCCCAGACGGTGTCTGTCGGAAGACTTCAAAGGCAGGGCAACGCGAGGGAGTCGCAGACATCACCTGCTGCTACTGCAGATTGCGCCCCCCCCCCCCCTTCCCCACTCTTCCCTTCCCCTCCCATCGTCTTCCTGCAGCCCGAAGAGCCTGAGGCTTATCCTCTAGGAGAATATTGGCGTCTTCTGCTGGCTCCGTGTTATTTTCCAGTTTGCCGAAAAGCTCAGGCTCTCGCTCTGTCGAACTCGACGCCGCCGCAGAACGCCGCCGCCTTTCCAATGACACATTAGCTTTCTTTGCACTTTCCACTTTCTTCGAAGTTTTTCTTTTTTCTCCCTGCCCTCGTTGCCAGAAAGCTCTCGTCGTAGATTACGTTTCAGGAGCCTCGTATGCACGGAGCTATCTCTCTTTCCCCACCCCGGTAACGACGTCTCTGGTTGCCTTGCTGCTTTCTTTATGAAGCACGCTTCAAACGAACTCCTCTTTTAACAATGAGGGTAACTTTTTATAGCCGACGACAGTGCTTGGACGTCGAGTTCTCGAGGCTTCTCTCGGCGCAACGGGACGATTAGCGCGAACGAACAATGTATAGTTCAACACGCTGTTTACAAACAAGCTCGAGCTGGCCCCACTAATGTCTATTGTAGTCAGCCGCGGATCCAAAAGGGGGGGGGGGGGGGGGGCGACGGGGGCGGCCGCCCCCCCCCCCCCTTCCCCCTAACAAAGTCGACCCCCTTTTTTCCCCCTTCTCGGAGGGCAATTTGACCTGGGTGGACCCCCCGTGCACAAGAAAGAATGGGAGAATAGTATCCTTAAAAATTTCCGGCCCCCCCTTAAAAAAAAAAAACAAAAAAAAAACGGAGTTCTGGTTCTGCCCCTGATTGTAGTAAGCTATATCGCGAATTGAGGCTTGTTTAGCTGGGGTCGAATGGCAGGGTTGTAAAGTACCTAGGTACAAGTAACCGAAAATCGGATTCTAGGTACTTTTGTTGTAGCTGAGGTACAAAGCGAGGTACTTCAATTTCTCGGTAATTGTATCTGTATCTTAGGTACATTTTCCAGTAACTTGTAACTAATTGAAGTTACTTTTTACCGGTACTTTTCTATTCACTTCGTCAAAATGGTAGAAACTATAAATCTTGAAATATTAACACACTACCATCTGCCGTGATTAACATAAAGTGGGGTACGACCTGGGAGGCAGTGACTTGATCGAACGAGGTTTTAGCGAACGAAGCCCTGCTCATGATGTTTCATCGAACGAAACTTTAGCGAATGGCGGTGTTCATTTGAGCGAACGGTGAATTAGCGATGCCGTTCTAGCGACACCAATTTATCGAACCGCTTCGGAGCTCCGTTTAGGGAAAATAATGACCTGGTTTCTTCATCTCAAACCAAAATCGACTTCATTGCGTGCTTGAAGCTCTTCTGGCAGCTATACAAGGAGGAGATAACTTGAAAGATGTACGCAGTTTCTGTTGAGGCCCCATCTGGGAAAAGTGGCGCCTTCTCTTCCCTCTTACTGTCAGATAAAAACTTAGAGGGAGTCCTGATTCTGAAGTCAAATAGAGATATTAGATGAAAAAGATAATGTGTCCTGGAATGCTCATGTGAATGCGGTTTTCATTCATTCTCGCATTGATACCAATAAAGCACATTTATCAAACTCGGTTTTGTGTGCATCCTTAGTATAAAAAGCTTTACTTCCAATATATTAGGACAAATTTGTGGAAAATAGAAAAAAAAGGATCTTTGAAGCAACTGTACCTGTACCTAGGTACATTTTTAAGCGAGTACCTAGGTACGACCTAGGTACATTTTCGTATGAGGGACTGTAACTGTATCTTAGGCACATTTTTTAAGTAATTTTTAAAAGCCTGGTTGAGTGGGCAGCACCGGCGGCCATTGCTTAACACCAGCAAATGCATTGAACCCAATGGGGAAAACGTGAAAATGCGATATTTCTATCATTTGGACGACTAAACTTCAAC